TAACATCTTTAGCTGTAAAAAAAAAACCGCCAGGCCTGAGCTGAACGCGCAGCTCGTTCGCTGCAAAATGTGGGGAGAACGTCATTTCAGAGCCTTTTCTTAACACTCTTTGGGTAATTGCTAGAAACGCACTTGCTGGGTACCCACTCCATAAATACTCATAATTTTCGGGTACCAAGCTTCCTTGCTATCCTTCGTCATTCTTCGTAGAATTGTGGTATCCGCTACTCAGTCGCTAGAAATTTTGCGCAACTTTTCGCGCAGTGTATGACGACGATGAAGAATTATGACTGATGTGGGCATGCGCCACAGCTATTAGGGTTTGTTCGTATGCGAAACGTTAGGGAGCACTAAAATCATCGTGCGCACTGGCGCGCAAGCGGGCTTGTCACGTGGTATATTTGCACATCGCGGGCATTTGCAGTTAGTAGAAAGACACTAAAAATTAGCTGATATCAAGCTCAAAACTGTCTAATCAGACACGTTGCAAACCGATGAACAACTTTTTCATGAGATTGTCCTGCCCATTCCGCTGCTTAAAGTGTTAGTCAATAAAAGTGAGCCTATTAGGCAGACAATAAGAACACAGAAAATTGTCTTACCCAGTGTGGGCAACAGTCAACAACAGACGTTTGATCCAAGGTGGATTAGAGAAAAATTGCTTGAGTGGAAGCTCCCGCAATGCCTTGCCAGCAGATATGAAGCCACCTTTCGCCACTGCCAAGATGGCAGAAACATGCTCTTTTCTGATGATGCCCACTTAAAGATGAAGTGGCTTTGATATGTTATGTTAATGCTACGTTAGTTATATATTAAAAGATAGTTGTTACCGACGAAATAACACGCAGAAACGAGTATGAATGACTGAATCTTCAAAAAACTTTGCCTCCATTTAGAGGCTCACTAAGAAAAACTAGTAACTGTAAGACGCACTTCGAGCACTGTATGACCCGAAAAAGTTCCCACATTAAACTTGTTGGGCGTGCGAGAGAAACGCTTCGTTTTCAATCGCTGAACGGGGATGCTTTATCATGCCCCTAGTAAGCAAGCTGTCACAGCCACCATCTTGCCAGAGGAACGGTTTCACTTCTGCGAAATCATTTACACTCCAGCAATTTTTTTCGTCCGCTCGTCTATCAGCTCTGCGCAGAAGCAGTCGCGAGCTGAGAAACCTACGCTACCAAACGGCTGGTGACCTTCCCGGCGGAGTTCGGAGCAGGGGCGCCTTCGGGACCGTGTTGGCGTCGCCGTCTTTCGTAACAGTGCCTCTTCTTTGCTTTGTGTCTGTGTTTAACCCCGCGCTCCCAGTTCGCTGAACCATCATGAATTACCAACTAGCCCACCTTTCAATTTTTGTGCCTGGTTGTTACTTTGCTGTTCTAAAATGCTTTACTACTAATAATAACGCGGTTCTTTTCCCGACATCAAGCCTGCCTAAGACAAGTTTGAGAACACGTCGCAAACACCGGTGTAGCTCAGTGGTAGAATACTGACCTGGTACGCCGCAAACCCAGGTTCGAGCCCCACTGTGGCCTTGGCACTCGGTTTTTTTTCTTATTTCGTGCGAAGTGGTTACGTACACCATCGGTGGAGGCGGATAAGTATGGTATCGTGAGTGACCCGACTTTTGATCTTGTAACATCTTTAGCTGTAAAGAAAAAACCGCCAGGCCTGAGCGGAACGCGCAGCTCATTCGCAGGTGGGAAAAACGTCATTTCAGAGCCTTTTCTTAACACTATTTGGGTAACTGCTAGAAACGCACTTGCTGGTACCCCCTCCATAAATAATCATAATTTTCGGGTACCAAGCTTTCTTGCTATCCTTCGTCATTTTCCGTAGAAGCGTGGTATTCGCTACTCAGTCGCTAGAAATTTCGCGCAACTTTTCGCGCAGTGTATGACGACGATGAAGAATTTTGACTGAAATGGGCATGCGCCACAGTTAATAGGGGTCCTTCGTATGCGAAATGTTAGGAAGCACTAAAATCATCGTACGCGTTGGCGCGCGAGCGGGCTTGTCACGTAGTATATGTGCATTTCGCGGGCATTTGCAGTTAGTAGGGAAACACTAAAACTTTGCAGATATAAAGCTCGAAATTTTCCAATCAGACGCGTTGCAAACCGATGAACAACTTTTTCATAGGAATGTCTTGCCCATTTCGCTGCTTAAAAGTTAGTCAATAAAAGTGAGTTTATTAGGAAGATAATAAAACACAAAAATGGTCTTACCCAGTCTGGGCAACAGTCATAACAGGCGTTTGATCTCGTCGTCACTGCGTGTGTCGGTACATTTCTACGCTCTAGCTAAATATAACTGGGCACCCAGTATACCTTGCTCTTGAGGGTTAGTGGCAGAATACCATTCATGATTTGGGAAATGCTTGCCGAATGTGATCCACTCTTATGTAAATGTGATCCATCCACCCTTATGTGAATGTGATCCATCCTTATTCTTCTAGTTTTCTACCTCTCGTGGTTTGGCTCCACGGCTACTACCCAGCCTAAAAAGACATACTTTTTTCCACTTCTAGCAGCTCTCCACTTAGAACAAAGCGCTGTATTCAGTCGAGGTGGTCGCACGTTACCTTTATTTTATGCATATTAACTTTGAGGCCTACTTTTCTGCATCGCGTGTCTAGTTCTGTAATCATCAGCTGTGATTCGTCAACGAAGCAAAAAAAAAACAGTGCGTAACACAGGACAGGAACAGAAACGGACGAAACGCTGACACACAATTGTGGAGCGAAGAACGGGGTAAGATATAACAGAGCCCGATGTATTATCAATGAACTGTGCTTAGAAGTGCTTATTTGGGCCGGTTTTTACATAATCAACGAAGCGAAAAAAATGTCCTGTGTTACTCGCTGTTTTTTTTTGCTTCGTTGATCATGTAACAAGCTGCCCAAATAAGCACTTTAGTACTGTAATTCGTCCCCTGAGTTACTCATCAAAACAGTGACATCCGCGAATCGCAGGTTAATAATTTGCTCTCTATTAATTAACTCTTATCCCTACTCTTTTCAGTTTCCTATAAACAAGCGGTGAACAGCTTTGGAGAGATCGTGTTTCCCTGCCTTACGCCCTTCTTTATTGCAGTTCTGTCGCCTTCATTATGAAGGATTATAGGGGCTGTCAATCCACTGTAGACTTTTTCCAATATATTTATGTAAGGTTCGTCTATGTCCTGATTCCGTAATGCCTGCATCACTGCTCATGTCTTGACTAAGTCAAACGCTTTCTCGAAATCTATGAAGGACATGTATAAGGGTTGGCTGTATTCTGTGCATTTCTCTACCTCCTGATTGATTGTATGAATATTGTTCATTGTGATGTAGCATGTACAAAATCATGCTTGGTGTTTTGGTTGATTGAATTCTAATGTCGTCCTAATACTGGGCTAGCATAAAAAGGACCCATGTTTGATTGTGTACAAAAAGACGCATAATCCTGAATGGTCAGATGGGCATGTATTCGGTTCTTGCTTTTTACCTGAGAGAAGCTTGGTGACCCGTGTGTGCAAGAAAATCGAGAAGCCGAGACGAAATGTAGTAAGAATCGATGTGATGTTTGTTCATTGTTTTGTTGGCGTTGTGTTAAACATTCCCGTTTTTTGTGCGGCTTAATATATTGGCCAAAGAAGTGGTGTGATAATGACCACATTCGCGTGCGAACAAGCTCCAGCAAACAAGCTAAAGATAGTCAGCGTCCTCAACATTTCAATCATTGAAATTCCCAGCCATCTCTTCAAGGTTTCAGTTTTCTGTCAAAATACCATAATACCATGAGATAATGTTAACATCGCTAGGCCTCTGCTAATATTCTAACATTTCGAATAATCTAACAAATACTACTTTATTACAGATTTCTGCGATTCAAATTTAAATCATTCACTACTTCAGAGTATTCAAAACGAACGAATGGGTGTATATTAGTTCCAAACACCACCATGGTCCAAATAAACCGTAGCCAACTGTAAAGGTAGTTTCACTACAGTAGAGGAGTGCTGAACCCTGAAAGCACTTATCGCAGAGAGAACCGCCCTGCCACGAAGCCCATGTTTAAGTTTAAACGAACAACTCGGCTGCTGACCCGCAGGTCGCGTGATCGAATGCCGACTGCGGTGGTTGCATTTCTCATGGAGGCTGAAAATGCTGCAGGCCCATGTGCTCAGATTAGGGTGCACGTCAAAAAACCCCAGGTGGTCGAAATTTCCGGACCTTTCCACTACAGTGTCTCTCATAATCATATAGTTGTTTTGGGACGCTAAACGCCACATATCGATCAAGGTTAAATGAACGTATTATCCTCATACAGATTAACCATTTTTTAAGTTTAAAAGCTTGTCATACAGGCTCATACGCCCCGAGTGCAGTTCATTTTAAAACGTAACATATTTAATGGGCCATTCATGGCTTCTATCGAAACTCATATCCGGCTAATTTTCAAAGATGTTTCCATTTTGAACAACAACAAAAAAAGGGCGTTTGCACAAGCCTTGTTTGAATTGAAAGTTATAGTGCAGCTTGATTGGGTCCTGACAAATGTGTCAATTTTCTTTACGTACATTACGCGATATATAATATTTTGGTGAGATTCAGAGTTATTAAACCAAAATCATTATTCACTTCAAAACTAAAATTTATAATTCGCACAACTCTAAACGTTCCTATTCTGTTGAGTGTTTTAATTGCCTCTACGTAGGCTCATCGTTTTTTTTTTCTTTTCTGTTTCCTCGAGATTGTGGTTGAGCATATATACGTGTACTGGAGAGTAAAACAGATTTGATTGTTAGTCAGCACCGTGGTCTGTGTGTTTTCTTTGTGCTGCCTTTTCAGCGCAGTTTTTTTATATACTGGAAGCCATGAACGAACCAACCCAGGTGCGTACTTTGCTGACGTCATATTGTGACATGTATGCGGAATTTTTAATATCACATGGTGCTGCACTGTCGGTCGTTTTTGCGTTTGGTGAGACATACAAAAAATAAATATTTCCGTTCAGTTACTGCTTTTGAAAACCAATTTATTTCACCACCACCACCTGCAGAGTGCAGTCGACGATATCATTGCACACGTGGTCGTTTGAAGCAGCGCTGCAGTAAAATCATCTTCTGCTTCAAAATCGAGCAGCAGTTACGCAAGGCTGCGTTGCAACCACGCGTAACTTTTTGTAAGGCTGGCACCTATTTCCTCAATTGCGACACGGAGCAAATATTGTTCACACAAGCGACAGATACACGGGCTACGGCGTCATCGTTGTAACGAACAGTGCGTTGAGCTTCCTCAGACGACGCTCCGGCGAGCTGGCCTGCCGGTGCAGCTGAACTGTCTGCGAATAAGCGTTAAGAGAAGTGTTTGGAGATGAGGATATGGTCGCGGCTTGACAACTCTGTCAACTAGCTGTAGTAAACAATACTACGACATGAGGGTGACACAAAAAAGCATATGTGGAAAGAATAATGGAGTATAAATTACAGCATGAATGTAAAAGCAGTCAGCGTTAACATCACAATGGGGCAAATGAAGTGTTAACCATTAACTGTACAATAGCAGTTTTGTCAGTTAGATACGTATCAACGTAGTACGTTACATAAAGGGGAAGTGGTTCTTTATATTAAGTACGTCAATAGGAAGCTGATTGCATTCCTCGGGTGTTTGAAAATAATTATGTTTGGACGGGTAGGAGTTTAAAATCTTTACAACATACGTCATGTGCGTCATAACGAAACTTGAAATAAATGTTCCAGGAAATACAAAGAGATAATAGTTTAATTGTGGTAATATATCAGAGTCCTTCAATACTTTTGCTGGTGATGAAGCTTCGGCGAAAGCTTGATATAGAGACAGGAGCAACCGCTAGGGGCGCCTTCGCCCACGGCGGGTCATAAAGGCGGCAGTGGCACTGCAATTGTACGGCACGCGCCGGAGCTGAGAAACGTTTCCAAATGAAGCCGTGGAGTTTTAATGCGTCATCAGAGTGATGTTTACCTAAAAGAAATTCGGGAAAGCTATAATACAGTGAAAATTAGCGTCGAATGAGGCCTTGAAGCTAGAAATTTGATGGCCTGCTAATTCCACTGTAAGATATGTTTCCGCTAGAGAAGCATGCTTATTCCTTTTTCCTGAAGCATCTAGTAAATATTTGTGTACAATACAGACTTTTTCAACAGCTCTGGTGGTTCTTAACACGTCACGTAAATGCAGTGCTTGCAACTTTTGACCGTGCATATACAACCGTCCAGGCTATATGTATGAAGATATATATCCTAAAATTCCCTTCCGCTTATCAAAGCAACGTCCACTTTGAATGAATCACTGCTTTCGATTTAGCAAGTGATGAGGATAAAGAAATACTTCATATGATGTTTTCATAGTTTTCATGCTTTGTTTTGCGTTAATTTATCACAACGATTCCGTAGCGCGTTTGAAGTTTGGTTGGCCATGCAATGTAGTTTCTCGGTTCTTCACTCGGCTGTGTAGCCTACCCATGCTGTGTCTTCCCTGTCATTATTTATTGTTTCTACTGTAAATGCGAAAACCTTACATGCCCCCTTAAAACTAAGAACTCACCGACTGCGTCTCGTGCCGTAGACATCAACATGTGCAGCAAAAAGTTATTTTCTCGTGCTCACGACGCATTGATATCGAAAATTATCTTTGCACGCTTTTACAGCTTGCGCAAGTTTTGTAAAGTATTGTGGTGCAACCACTCTTGCACCGTCACCCTAGCAAACATCTATGGGTAGCGCTGAGGTCTCTGTTGCTTGCCACGGATGTGTGCTTTAAGTCTTTCAGCCTGTGGCTCGAAAGCAATCACTGTCATTGATGCATTGCAAAACACATTTAACCGCTCATAACGCTGGTCCATGACCGTGCATGTGCAAGGCACAAAACGTCATTACTAAGCAAGGACTAGTAACCAATAATTGTGAAAGGCTTCAGTGCAGTGTCGAGTTGAACCCACTGCTAAATTTTGGAGCCACACGTTTCAGCTTTCGCTAGTTAACAATTGGCATGTAGTGCTTGGGTCGTAATTTTGTTTTTGGCTTGGCATAAGCAAAATGGCACTCGACCCCATTGGCCTACCCAGCCTCCACTTCAGATCAAGGTGGTGCTTCCCCACCCCACCTTGGAAAAACTTTCTGCCTATGCCCCTGCCCCATCGTTTAGGGTGCTCCGAGGCAAAGAACACGAATATTAGGACTGACAAAGCGAGACACACATACTCATGTTTGCCGAATCCTAGAGCGCCAGTTTTACTTAATGAAGAGTCTACTGATACAGAGTGCTACTTCAATAGATAGCTGTGGAGTCGCTCCTGGTAAATAAATCTACCTTTACAGTGAAAGCTGTTATGAGATCACTTTTCGGGTCACGCGCAGTCATTGTTGTCGGCTACCGTCGATGTCCGTAACCACATCGCGCAAAAATAAAAAAATCTTGCACCAATGACACTGTGGAGCTCGAACCCGGGTTCGCTGGGTGCCAGCCAAATATTCTACCACTGAGCTACACTGAACCTTGTGTCTTGCAGTCAAACGTGCCATAAGTAGGCTTGACGTAGGGGTTAATATGACTTCTAATGTATTTTGAAACAGCGAAAGAACAACCAGTCGTGGCACTATGTGAATATCATAACGGGCAGGCCGTCCAATGCTCCAAACCATCACAAAAGCTTGTTCGTGTTCCCCTATTAACTGTTGCGCATACCCACTGCAGCCATAATTCCTCATCGTCTTCACTCACTGCATGGACAATTGGCACAAAATTCCTTGGAAGTGTTGAGTGGATGCCAGGCTTCTCAGAAGAACGACGAAAAATAGCATAGCAAATGCCGGCCTGTTGTGTCAGTGGGCGGCGTCCACACGACGGCAAGGGGCCCGACGACTGGACGGGGAACTCGGCGCGCGCCGGCAAACTGGCCCACCGACACGAGTGAGTTAAGCAAACTCCACGCAAGCCCAACAACGACTCGGCTGACCAGCAGCCGTTTATTAAAACTACACCGCGAAGCGACGCGTACACACGCAATTTGCTACTCACAACCACGTGTGCCTGTCTGCAATGACAACTATATATAAAGACCACAACAACACTACAAAGAATGCGCATCCTTCTCAAGGATGGCGCCACAACCCCACACGGTCTACTACCCAAAAGATTATTATTAATGCCCTAGTGGGTACCAAGCAAGTGTGCTTGCGTTAGCTATCCAATGAGTGTTTTGAAAAAACTCAGAAAGGCCGCTCTTCTAGCTTTCGCTGTGACTGTGCTGCACCTACCGCGTAGGCCTGGCGTTTATTTTTAAACGCGGAGCTGTTAAACTCGGCCGACAACCGTCCAACGTGAACGCGAATCTCTGCCCCGTGATCACGTCACCATGCTTTGGGTAGCAAGTAGTTGCACATTCTTCGTCTGCATCGCAAGGACATACACTGCTCTACCACAGCCCATTACAGCTCGGTCGAGTAAGAGATGACTCGATGGCGAACTGCACCTGCGCTCCTTCGTTCTGTAAAAAGCCGACATGTAGCGGTGGTGCCCTATGTAGACATGGTGAGAGGGATCAAGGTTCGCACCGCTGGTGAGGAAGCCACCTACCGGGAATGGCGGCGTGCTTGCAAGCGAGACTGCTGGACTGAACTTGTTTATATTTGCTCTAGACGTAGTACAGCTGAAGCGTCCAAAACATGCTGTACTGGAGTCGAGCGGCACTTGAAATCACTTGGAACTAGTTCGTATGACGTAGTATCACTCACCATTGCTTCGGATGGCTTAGACCAGCTAGGCACCGATCAGCAACGCTGAGACTTTAGCCTTGCTCCACTAGCGCAAGATATACCGGGATTGTCAAAAAAATATGAATCGATCCCATACTCGCGCTATAGTCGCGAGGTGGCTCTTTGCCCAAATGAAAGATGCGCGAGTTTTACAGTGAATGCTATTATGAGAGCACAGCACGGTCAAGTGAGCCATAGTTGTCAAACGCCGCCGGTGTCCGTAACCTCTATCACATAAAAGAAGAAAAAACTCAGTGAAAAAGAAACACTTTCCCCCCTTTGTCCGTTCTGCGAAGAATCAGAAACTATTGAACATTATTTTGGCTCATGTCGTAACTATGCTATAATTAGGAAACGACTTTTAGATATTCCATTTGCGAAGCTAGGTTTAGATTTAACCACAGAAAATGTTCTAAGTTTTAGTGCCTCTGTTTTGGGAAATTGCCACAGAGATGCATTCGATGCGGTGTGTAATTTTATTCAAGACTCTAAACGTTTTTCAACATAAAGCCCACGTTAACAGATACTCAAAAAAAACGGGTCGAGAAGTAATTTTCCATTCTGGATAAATCCGTCACATACCAAATTAATCGGGTTTGGCAAAACCATCTGTCTGGTCGGCTCCCAAAATCAAGTTGTAGCTATTAGTGTCTACTTTGTTGTTGATTCTTTTTTCCCACTATCTAAATCTTTGGTTTCTTTCTTTTTTTTAACATACTGTCTTCACTATACAACCCCCCCCCCCTTTTGTTTTCGTTGTAAGCAACAATGCAGTTATCGTCCATAGACTATATGTTCTCTTGGCCAATCCCCCAGAGTGGGTACGAGCCATGGATTAGAGGGTACAAAGAAACAAACAAACAAACAAACAAAGAAACACCAAGAATACAATGCAATTCAAATCCGGGGCCCCTGCGTGCCAGCCCGGTATTCTACCACTGAGCCACGCCGGTGCTTCGAACTTCTTTACAAACTGGCATCAGTCAGGCTTGATGTCGGGAAAGGAATTGCGTTATATATTATGAGTATTCAAGCGTTTTGATGCAGCAAAAGAACAACCACGTGTCAACCAATAAGAATGGCGCAATGAGTGGGCCGTAGAATGCTCCAGCCCTTTGAAAAGCTTGGTCTTGTTCACTGATTAACTGTAGTGCGCATACCCCCTGGGGGGGGGGGGATTATGAGGCATTACAAACACTTCTGGCAAAATAGTTGATCGCCGTCAACCACCGCACATAAAATTGCAGAAATTGATAAAATATTTATTGACAACAGCTTTTTTAAAATTTTTTGGGGGTACTTCAGGCGAAGAGCTGTTCCAAACAGCTTGAGAGTGCCTGAAAGCCCTTTGTGGCAGCGCTATACGCAGCGTACAAGACAGTAACGTAAATAAGTGTACGTGAGTTGTAACAATAACAACACATTAATTAAAAAATTCGGCAGCTAGATCCCACGTAGATGGGAATCGACGTTATGCGAAGCATGTGGAGGGAAGGTGATGGTGTTGCATTTTTTTATTGAGCAACACGTCATCAAATGACGTTAAATATATCTATAAATGTTGCGCGCACAGACATATGTTGAAGAGTTGCAGATGGTTATATAACCAGTTGTTTGCCCTTGGGCAACGATGCCAGCTGCAACACTCGTATTAGAAACATCAGAAGCTGATATGAAGCACTGATGCTCGCGAGCATGCTGGCCCTGTACACTGCTACGAATATCAACTTCAGCGCATGGCAAATAACCACAATTGACGTGAACCCGACGTGACGGCTTTATCAATGGAGTACATACGTATTGTTTATGAAATTGGGTAGGCAGTACAGCAACCATCATTGACGTTTCACCAAGATTAGTGTCTATTTGAAAAGTAGTTCCGAAACCTGCCATAGTTCTGTGGTTAAATGCTTTATTGCCACGCGGAATGCTTGGGTTCGACTCCAGCTGGAACCCTGACATTTGTTATTTGCATTTGTCGAGTCGACACTACAGGTGTCGAGTATTTCTTAGCGCTCACACGTTGAAACTGCCTATGTGTGCTCTCGTCGTTTCTGGGTAGATACTAAGTGTATATCACGGGTGGCACAAACACACATACCAGTGGCACATAACCCTCCCGTGGGTATGTGCCACTGTCTGGCGAAAAGTTTTTGACGATGTACGCGGCGGCATTTTGAAATTTTTCATGTCTTGACCAGCGCGTCATATTCGTCAAAGCATCTTACCTTCCCATGCTAATTTTGGTTCTCGCCAAGGTAAGGGGGTGGCCACGAGAGTACCCAAACGTAAGCTGGTAGAAAGATAGATAGATACGCTCAAATTCGCCGAAGTTCACTAAGAAATGCTTCGCATTTAAAACATATAAAATTGAGTTTGTGCAGAACAGTGGTCACTTAAAGTTTTTGAAAAGCAAAAAGCAGCAAAACAATGCAACGTCATGCGTCCACATATTAAAGTTCCTTTCAAGTGTGCGGCGCGCACCACGCTTCTCGGAAGAATGACGAAGGATGGCGCAGTACATGGCTGCCTACTACATAATGATTCACAGCACAGTGGGTACCCTGCAAGTGGGCTTCCAGCAGGTACCGAAAGGCTGTTAAGAAATAAAAAAAACGCCAGAACAGCGCGGAATGCGCAGGACTGTCACAGCGAAAGCTGTAAGCGCGGCCTTTAAGGGCTTTTTATAATCATTCATTGGGTAACTGCTGCAAGTACACTTGCTGGGTACTCACTACGCCATATATAAGGAAGGAAGAAAAATAACCTTATTTTGGTCCTGCGTAAGACGAATCATAAATTTTGTGTGGTTGGCCAGCATTCACTGTATGTGCTGTCCTTCGACTTTCTTGGGATCGAGAAGCACAATATCCACTACGCCTGAAGTGGGTATGCGCCACCGTTATGAAGTGATCAAGAAGAAGCTTTTGTGATGGCTTGGAGTATTGGATGACCCACTGATTACGCAATCCGCAAGGTGTGATGCCTGGTTATTTGTTATTTTCATGTTATACAACGCTTTATTGCCCATATTAACGCGATTACTTTCCCGACATCAAGCCTGCCTAACGCCTGTTTGGAAACGAGTTGCAAGCTCTGGTATGGCTCAGGGGTAGAACACTGGGCTGACACGTAAGATACCATAGTTCAGGTTTCATTGACAGATTGGTGTTTTTTTATTTACTGAGTTGTTTTTTTTATTTCGTGCTATAGTGGTGACGGACCCCGGCGGCAAGCACGGCGGCAGCGGTGGACAACTATGGCACCGCACGTAAACCGTGTTGTGATCTCGTAACAGTTTTCGCTGTAAAAAGTCTGAGAAAGGCCATTCTCTCAGCTTTCGCTGTTACGTTCTGCGCATACTGCGCGCAGTCCTGGTGTTTTTTTCAAGAACATCGGTTTTTATATAGTGCGACCGGTATTGAAATGAAATGAATATACAAACAGGTGATTGTCATGGGAAGGTGGCGTAAATTTCGTCATCACCGAAAGTGCTGCTTCATCTGAATCACCCGCATTCAAATGTGTACTGAGGACGTGTAACAGCGCGCTGAAGGGAAATGAAGTATTTTCCCCAATTCAATTAGCAATACGGGATGTGACCACCTCTTTGTGTATTACTCCATTGTCTATCATCCTCTTCGCGCCTCTTAACTCTTACCATAAGTGTATAGCAGTTGGCTGAAAATGATAATAACATCGATGGTGATAATGATGCAATTGATATACTTCTTGTGGAACACCTACCATGAAGAATTATGCCAACAATGGCGAAAGCAATCAGGGTCACCGTCAGCTTCATTGTCCGGCTGCTGCAAAAGAAATACAATGCTGCGATTATAGCGAACAGTGGAAACTTGAACAGTAGCAGCCAGTTTTGTTTGCTTTTTTCTTGTAGCGAACTCATAAATAATGGAGTGTAAGATGGAGGAAGAACTACATGGCTGTGTGGGAGACGCATCAAAGGCATATCCTCAGCTTATAAACTGAAAAAAGCCGGCTTCTCAAAAGCCACAGCTGTCTTGACCAGCGCGTCATATTCGTCAAAGCATCTTACCTTCCCATGCTAATTTTGGTTCTCGCCAAGGTAAGGGGGTGGCCACGAGAGTACCCAAACGTAAGCTGGTAGAAAGATAGATAGATACGCTCAAATTCGTCGAAGTTCACTAAGAAATGCTTCGCATTTAAAACATATAAAATTGAGTTTGTGTAGAACAGTGGTCACTTAAAGTTTTTGAAAAGCAAAAAGCAGCAAAACAATGCAACGTCATGCGTCCACATATTAAAGTTCCTTTCAAGTGTGCGGCGCGCACCACGCTTCTCGGAAGAGAAGCGTGGTGCGCGCCACAATAAGACTTCAATTGCACTTCAATAAGACGTGTCTCACCATCACGACGTAAGTTCGGCGCCTGAAGCCCCAGAAATTACTTGTTGGATTGTGTAATTGCCACGGCGCAAGACTTAATGCAATGCTGTGCCCGTTGGATGTCAGGTTAGCAGCTACGCAGCTGTACACGCGTCCCACGCGGCAATGAACCCTGATGTTGTGGGGCGTCTATCACAAATATTTAGCATTAAATTTCACTAGCGGTGATGATGCTTCCTAATGGGAGTTTTTCAATCAAGCTTGGTGTTTGGGCAGCGCCAACTGTGTTTGAAGTTATGGTTACCGGAGTTACAGCAACGCAACATTGCTTACATTTTGCCATATAACCGCCCACGCTCAAATGTTATAGTTGTAAAAATTAGTTTTTAGGGGCGAAGCTCCTTATGGCGTGGGTCTGTCGCTCTTCCATATGTATGTATGTATGTATGTATGTATGTATGTATGTATGTATGTATGTATGTATGTTTGTATGTATGTAGTATGTATGTATGTATGTATGTATGTATGTATGTATGTATGTATGTATGTATGTATGTATGTATGTATGTATGCAGGTATGTATGTATGTATGTATGTATGTATGTATGTATGTATGTATGTATGTATGTATGTATGTATGTATGTATGTATGTATGTATGTATCTACATACATACATACATACATACATACATACATACATACATACATACATACATACATACCTCTGTGGCACATACCCGCTCCAGAGCGGTGGTACTTGGAGTTTTCACTAGATGGACGCACGAAGGGACGGACGCATGGATGCACGGACTCACGGGCGAACGCACGGACAGACGGACGGATGCATGGATTGACGCATGGATGGTCACGCGGACGGACAGGAGCAAGAACGAACAGAAGGACGCTTCGCCCCACTCAACATCATTTACTCCGTAGATATGCAGCGATGTTTGCAAAAAAAAGTCTGTGGCAGTGCTCATGCCACAAAATTTCGAAATGTGGCCACTGAGCTGAGCCTCAAACCCACATCCTCGTGCGTAGTAGCGCCATACTAGACCTGCTCAACTACCACAGCGGGTAAGCTAGTTGTAAAGGACACGTAGCTCATTCTTTGCACAGGTACCAAATCGAGATAGGACAAATGCACGATAGTGACAATCAAGGTTTAAGGCCCCATTCGCTGTTTAGAGGCTGAGAGGGGGCCGACGCTAGCCAGGCTATAGAGAACGTTTATAAAGTGTGGCACTGCCCTTTTGAGCTGGTAAGCCAGCGTTGAAGCGTCCACATATTAAGCCCTTCCTATGACATCGTACGGGGAGTTATACCACGCAAGTGTAAATCAACGGCGTTGCGGCGCTCGGATTTTGATAGGGCTTGATCCCGACTGCGCCGGTTGCGTTTCGAAGGAGACCAAGTGTGAAGGGCCCAAAAACGTACACCTATAGGTGCACGTTGAAGACATTCATGGGTTCGAAATTGCCGGAGCACTTCAATAAGACGTGTCTCACCATCACGACGTAAGTTCGGCGCCTGAAGCCCCAGAAATTACTTGTTGGATTGTGTAATTGCCACGGCGCAGGACTTAATGCAATGCTGTGCCCGTTGGATGTCAGGTTAGCAGCTACGCAGCTGTACACGCGTCCCACGCGGCAATGAAAAATGGATTTCGAGGCTGCTGCTTTTGATAATTATAACGTTATAGCTGTTTGAAATTGATAGGTAGCGTGAATGCGCCTGCGTGTGTTGATCTGCTGTGTGTGATGTCTGGTTGAAATCCATGCATCTGCCATGCGTACGGATTCTTTGCGGCTCGAATGAAAGACTCCTACCCCCATGACTATTCATGATACTGTTGATGGTGTGATGTTTCGGAGGATGAGAGAGTCTGACAACTTGCCCACTGTTATTGGAAACGTTTAGAGTTTGTGCCGTGTTTAGGCCTTTTTAAAGCTCCAACCCGCCCCAAGCAAAACCACTTGTGTGACTGGCCGCAGTGTGGCCATGTGTGCCCTGGCGTAGCTGCACACCTACGTGCTGTGGCTAATGATGATGGAAATGACTTATTGATGAGCCGTTTTTAACGACCGGTCGACTGTAAAGTAGCACTTAGTTACGAAATTCACGTGGCCTTACGCCTGAGGTAATAAAACGTGTCTTCCCCGTAAATTTTGTCAGCTAACGTGACCCGACATGCAACAGTTTTTTTCTAAAGTTCTCTAAATGATATCTGTAGCTGCGTTGGGATTTGATAAATATGTGGGGTTTAACGTCACAAAACCACCATATGATTATGAGAGACGCCGTAGTCGAGAGCTACGGAAATCTCGACCACCTGGGGTTCATTACCGTGCACCCAAATCTGAGCACACGGGCCTACATTTCCACCTCCATCGGAAATGCAGCTGCCGCAGCCGGGATTCAAGTCCGCGACCTGCGGGTCAGCAGCCGAGTACCTTACCCACTAGACCACCGTGGCGGGGCGTGAATGCGTTGTAGATTGTACGAGTAAGTGCCACTCATAATACCTCGTTTTCTTATGCTAATCCTGCATTCAACAGTATATATATACTACACTGGCCATCTGTTCCCACTTCGGTAATGATACGTATAAGAAGTACTAGCAGAATACGCACCAGAACGGAGATTCCGTGCTAATAGGTAGATCGTCCGGAGTCGAGCGCTTTTTACGAGCAGCAGGTGTTCACGCCGGCAAGTCACCCCGTACGCAGACGTAGACGTGGTTGCACTTCGAATTTCCCTCTCCCTCGTACTCCTACATATTGACGCGCGTATGTGCCAGTGGTGAGGACAACGAAGGAGCGCGAGTGTCTTTCGCCGAGGGCAAAAGACGAAGAAGTCGTTGCAGTCTGTTTCCTGCGATCGATATATCGTATTTATTTGAGGCGCTTTGTGTGCTCGTCAATCTCGCGTCGTCACACTGGTGGAAGTGCTGGGTACGTCTTCATGCTTGGCACCCCTTCGCGGACCCGACATTCAAGCCCGGAATCACTACCACCCGTCGACACACCAGTCCACCGTTCCAGCCGCCGTCTGCGAGGCCTAGCTCCCGAGCTCAATCCCTTTCCAGAAACTGCCAGCGATCGCTTGCCTCCTTCAACCACCATGGTCACTGCAGCTACATCGCACATGACACTTCAGAATCCCATGATTCCTGACTGCTTTCATGGTGAGACCTATGAAGATGCACAAGACTGCCTGGACCAGTTCGAACGCTGCGCGAAGTACAACCAGTGGGCCACCCCAGAAGACAAGCTCGCGAATGTGTACTTCTACCTGAAAGACAACGCCCAGACGTGGTACATCAACAGGGTAAGAAGCATGGCTACGTGGGATGACTTCCGCAACCAGCTGATTGACACCTTTAGTAGTCTTGACAGAAAGGAAAATGCGCAACGTCTCTTGGAAGCTCGAATTCAAAAACCAAACTAGAGCGTCGCTATGTTCGCCGAGGACATGACCCGTCTTTTCGGCAGGGCGGATCCCGAGATGCCGGAAGACAGGAAGCTGCGGTATCTAATGCGAGGCTCGAAGGAGCAACTGTTTGCTGGGCTTGTGAGAAATCCGCCAACAACAGTAGCTGAGTTCACGAAAGAAGCCACAGCTATTGAACGGGCCCTACAGCAACGGTACCGCCAGCAGAACCCGGTCAACGTTCGAGCGAGTAGCCCTGTTACGACTGCGGCGAGCCTCTGCGACAACGACAGGCCTCTGCGGGAAGTCATCCGGGAGATTTTGAGGGAGGAGCTTCGGCAGCTTGGTTTGATTCCAGCAACTGAACCGACGCCGGCATTGTCTTTTGTCGCTGATGTTGTCCGGGATAAGGTCCGCCATGTTCTCTCTTCATCCGGCTATAATGATGTGCGACGACATTTTACTTATGCTGATGCAGTCCGACGCCCCGTCGTCGCTCCTTCAGCACAGCAGACCCCAATTACTGGACCACCACCAACCCTGCAAACACAGCCACTGTCAGCACCGACCACTTTCGCAACCTCACCGATTCCTCCAACAAGACGAATGCCGTATAACCAACATGCCCCACAACGTAGCCCCACAACGTGGCCCAATAGCGAGTCTCCACTTACCTGCCAGCGTCGGAAAACCGATTTGTGGCGTACCGCTGACCGTCGACCGGTATGCTTTCATTGTGGCGAAGCTGGGCACGTCTACCGAGTTTGCCGTTATCGCGACGCTCAGTACTCGAGATTTCGTCGCTACCCTGATTACATAGCGTACGACGATCAACGCATGTACAACTACGCCCATGTGAACACACCGCCGCAGAATCCAGTAATGCCCAGATCACGTTCTTCATCTCCTGCGTGGCCCAGTTAACCAAATCGTCGCAGTTTTGCCGACGTCACCAGGGGCAGGTCCCCTAGCCCACGACGGGGAAACTAGACACAGCGACCTCGGGGGTGGG